CAGATGCATAGTGGAGCCTTGGCCCCATCGAAGACTTCGAAGGTGTCCTTGACCATAACTAACACCTCTACCGTCGAATATCCTCCACGGTAACGCATGAGGCCACTAGCACTTCACCACCACCACCGCCTCACACCACCAGAGAAGGAGGACCGGGTAACAAAAACGTGCTACCCATGGCGCCATCTGCATCACCGAGAATGGGGAAGGTAGTCATGGCAAGGAAACAGCTACCATTGCCATGCCATGAAGGGGAGACAATGCTTGTACGAAGGGTGGTAGTTTGGGGATGATCCAGCAAACGAGAGGCTACCAAGGACCATACACACATCAAGGGAGTAAATGCGAACGCCGTGCCGGAAGGCCGAATCGTCGACGACACACATCAAGGGGGGGGGGTGTGGCTTCTTCACCCCACGCGAGGATGACCCCTCCCCTCATGCGGTGCGTCGGGCTCCATATGCATAGTGGAGCCTTGGCCCCATCGAAGACTTCGAAGGTGTCCTTGACCATAACTAACACCTCTACCGTCGAATATTCTCCACGGTAACGCATGAGGCCACTAGCACTTCACCACCACCACCGCCTCACACCACCAGAGAAGGAGGATCGGGTAACAAAAACGTGCTACCCATGGCGCCATCTGCATCACCGAGAATGGGGAAGGTAGTCATGGCAAGGAAACAGCTACCATTGCCATGCCATGAAGGGGAGACAATGCTTGTACGAAGGGTGGTAGCTTGGGGATGATCCAGCAAACGAGAGGCTACCAAGGACCATACACACATCAAGGGAGTAAATGCGGACGCTGTGCCGGAAGGCCGAATCGTCGACGACACACATCAGGGGGGGGGGGCGTGGCTTCTTCACCCCACGCGAGGATGACCCCTCCCCTCATGCGGTGCGTCGGGCTCCATATGCATAGTGGAGCCTTGGCCCCATCAAAGACTTCGAAGGTGTCCTTGACCATAACTAACACCTCTACCATCGAATATCCTCCACGATAACACATGAGGCCACTAGCACTTCACCACCACCACCGCCTCACACCACCAGAGAAGGAGGATCGGGTAACAAAAACGTGCTACCCATGGCGCCATCTGCATCACCGAGAATGGGGAAGGTAGTCATGGCGAGGAAACAGCTACCATTGCCATGCCATGAAGGGGAGACAATGCTTGTACGAAGGGTGGTAGCTTGGGGATGATCCAGCAAACGAGAGGCTACCAAGGACCATACACACATCAAGGGAGTAAATGCGGACGCCGTGCCGGAAGGCCGAATCGTCGACGACACACATCAAGGGGGGGTGTGGCTTCTTCACCCCACGCGAGGATGACCCCTCCCCTCATGCGGTGTGTCGGGCTCCATATGCATAGTGGAGCCTTGGCCCCATCAAAGACTTCGAAGGTGTCCTTGACCATAACTAACACCTCTACCGTCGAATATCCTCCACGGTAACGCATGAGGCCACTAGCACTTCACCACCACCACTGCCTCACACCACCAAAGAAGGAGGATCGGGTAACAAAAACGTGCTACCCATGGCGCCATCTGCATCACCGAGAATGGGGAAGGTAGTCATGGCGAGGAAACAGCTACCATTGCCATGCCATGAAAGGGAGACAATGCTTGTACGAAGGGTGGTAGCTTGGGGATGATCCAGCAAACGAGAGGCTACCAAGGACCATACACACATCAAGGGAGTAAATGCGGACGCCGTGCCGGAAGGCCGAATCGTCGACGACAAGACGGTCTACCTAAGATCAAATCATACCTTCCCAGAGCAATGGCCATGAAATCATACTTGAAAGTATGGCCTTGCACCCACCAGTGTAAGTCTGCTACTTCTTCAGTACACTAGCAAATCACCATTTGCCACCCTCACAAGCAAGGCAGTGTCCAAGGGGGTGGTTGTCACTTTTAGTCTCTGTAGTAGGCCTTGCACTCACCATTTGCCACAACACCACCGCCACGAACCCCGATCCGGCGACACTCATTGATATACTGTTGTCCTCCACTCACAGGCTGCGGCCCAGACTACCTTAGGACCACTAACTCAACCAATTGAATTAAGCACTTGTACCACTCTGTTCGGTTGACTCTTCAGTGTTTGTCGTCACTATCAGTACAGGTGCAGCCGTACTGACACTGCCCAAACATGTCGAGCCGGCCTGACGGCCATGGAGGCGGAGGGAAATTTCCTCTCAGGTCCGATGGCTAACGACCGCAAACCCCTGGGAGCCTCTACTCAAGCAGCGACCCCTGCAACTATCAAAGAGAACGCCAATGTAGCAGAAGCTAGTAATAGTAAAGAAAGCAAGAAAAATCTAGAAGACAGACAAGAACTCAATTGATAGCATTTTGTTGACTTTTTAACTGAAACTGGATACACATCCATCGCATTCAGTAATGTTTACACACGATAGGGGCAACCATAAGTCTTAAAAAAGAGAGGCTTGCACTGTTGCTGTAGGTAGATACCAGAGAAGTAGAGAACAACTGGGATATCCTGATCCTGGACCTAGCAACAAGAGAGCCACAACTACGCAAGGTATCATGTAATGCGTGTAGGCTAAGTCTTCATTGCAGTTGCTTCCCTGTGATAACAAAGTCAAGGTGAGCATAAGGAGCAACTTCTATACAACTTTCTTTTCCAAAATAAAAATAAAAGTAGAACAAAGGCCCCCTCTTTTTTTTCATAAATTTATGGAACCAGAACCCGCCTCACATTCAACTAGAGTTTAGATCATCCTTCATATGCAATAAAACTTAAGACGGAAAAAAAATATCACTCACTTGCACTGCATAAAAACTTCGCAGTTTTAAAACTTCTTATATAAGAAATGATTTTTTATCTTTCACAGGACTAGGAGAACACCGAAAATTTACCTTAAAGCATTCTCAATGTCAACGGCTTTAGGGTCCAACTTTAGGCCATCTGCGAAAGCCTCACATGCTTTTTCGTAGTCCTATAAGTAAACAGCACCGATGAATTCCATGATCGTACAAGATTGAACATAACTACTTTGTTTTTTTGTTACCTTCAGACGCATAAAAGCAGCCCCTTGTCGATAGCAGGCTTTTGGCCAGTTGGGTCGCATCATTCTACACAAAGTAGCATCTTTGAGAGCCATAGATCCATTTTCCAAGCGCAACAAACAGAGACTCCTATTTGCTAGCAGGGTTGCATAATCATCTGAGCTAGGGCCAAGTTCCATTGCCTGCATTAGTACAGCAATTACATTCCTTTTTGCCATACTAAAACAGAGTTCCGGCAGTAAAAACAAAAAACAACACTGCAGGCAATGTAATTGGCATTTTTATAGTAACTGAAGTAGAGCCTCGACCATTTTTTTGATTAATATTCAAAGCAGCCTTCAAGCAAGTTGCGTAATTGGCATTTTTTTAATCAAACAGCCTTCAAGAAATAAAGATTAAGCACAGTAACTTACAACAGTATACATCTCTGCTGCCATCATATATTCACTTCTCTTAAAAGCCTCAGCAGCTTTTAATTTCAGTTCAGCTCTTTTCTTCTGGCACTTAAGTTTATCCTGATTACAAAAACATCCAAGGTCAAAACAAATATGTCAAACTAATACTGACAAGTGTTAGATGTGTATAGCCCTTTTCGGTTTATCCACATTATATAAGGGGTCTCTTGCACTTTACCACACACTTATATATGTATTGGCCTTTGACCCTCCTGTGAAGTTAGTGGCTGATTATCCAACATGGTATCAGATGCTAGGTTAGCCCCTTCCTCCCGCACGCTGCAACTCCGTGCGCCTCGTACCTAGTCTCCGGCCGCCGCTGGCCGTCTCCGGCCGTTTCCTCCTCGCTCCCCGGCCCTGTTTCGCTCCCAGTCTGCCTCCTCTTCTACAGGCCGCTGCACCGAGCGCGTGCGTGGTCGCTCAAGGCCTGCCGCCGCCCTGGGTTCCCTCCTCTCCATCCGCTGCCCCGGGTTCGTCTCCTTGTCTCGTACAGGCGCCGCCGCCCCAGGCCCATCTCCGGCTTGGCTGCATCTTCGATCGGGGGCTGCTCCCGCTCGGTGGTCTCTGCCTGGGCGTGCCTGCTTTTGCTCGGGAGCTCTGCTAGGGCTGCTCCCGCTCAGGGGATTCAGTCTCTGAGCGCCGGCTTCCCCTCGAGCGGGCTTGCCTCCTGCTCGATCCAAAATCGGGGGCGCGTGAGTCCCCTCGAGCGAGCTTGCCTCCTGCCCGATCCAAAATCGGGGGTGCGTGAGTCCCCTGATCCCGATCCAGTTTCTGGATCACCAAAAAAGAGAGAGAGAGAGAGAGAAAGGAATATCTCAGTATGTCATCTTCGGGCTATGTGGTTGTTCCTCGCTGCTCGGTGATCTTCGATGGCACCAACTATGCTGAGTTTGTGTGCTTCATGCGCATTCATATGCGTGGACTTCTTTTGTGGGGTGTTCTGTCTAGCGAGGTCCCTCGTCCGCCATGTCCTGCTGCGCCCGTGGCCCCAATTTCACCCGTGCCGCCAGTCCTTGCTGCTGATGCTTCTCAGGCTGATCGGGATGCCGCCAAGGCCCTAGATGATGCTGCGGTTGATGCTTATGATCAGCAGGTATCCGCTTATTCAGATGCTCTTTCTGTGTACCGTGATGACCTGTCTGCTTACACTCAGTGGTGCAATGATGATGCCCGTGCTGCTGCTGTTCTCGCTGCGAGTGTCCTCCCTCAGTTTGCTTCAGAGTTCATGGGACTTGGCATAGTTGCAGTGATGTGGTCTTACCTCTGTCAGCGCTATCAGCCCTCTGGTGATGCTCTCTACCTCTCTGTGGTGCGTTAGGAGCACGCCCTCCAGCAAGGTGATTCTTCTGTTGATGACTTCTATTCACAGTGCTCTACCATCTGGCACCAGCTTGACTCTCTTCGGACAGTCGTTTGTTGAACCTGCCGTTGCTGTCAGACTACTCGGTCTGATCTGGAGTTTCAGAAGGTTCATGAGTTCTTATCTCGTCTCCGGTCTGAGTTTGAGCCCCGACGGGCGCACCTGCTTGCTCGTGGTCGTGTTCCTATCTCAGAGATACTTGCCGAGCTTTGTGCTGAGGAGACCCGCCTTCGCTCTGCTGGGTTGCTTCAGGTTTCGTCAGTGTTGGCCACCCGGGCACCTGTGTCGTCTGCTTGTCTCACTGCTCTGCCGCTCCTGCCTACTCCTCCAGGGAGGGTGAGCCGTTCTCCTTATGCTGAGAAGGGCACGTCGCGCCGTGACACCGTCTGTGGTTATTGCTCCCGGTCAGGTCACCCAGAGTCTGATTGTTGCCAGAAGAAGCGAGACCAGAGGCGCTCCTCCTCCAGCGGGACTCCTGTGTCTTCCTCGACTCCGTCACTCACTGACCAGGACATTGTTCGTCTCAAGCGTCTTCTTGCTTCCTCAGGCTCCTCGTCGACTGTTTCCGCTGCTGCTGTGACTGCATCCCCTTCCTCACCACCACCGGCATCTACACAGTCAGGTACATCTTCGTGGGTTCTGGATTTTGGAGCCTCCTTTCATATGTCTTCTGATTCTTCCACTTTGTCTTCTCTCCGACCTCTTGATTCGCCTGTTAATGTTCTTACTGCCGATGGCACATCTCTTCCTGTCGCTAGTCGTGGTATTCTTTCCACTCCATCTTTTTCTGTTCCGAGTGTTTCACATGTTCCTCGCCTTACCATGAATCTTTTTTCCGCTGCCCAACTTACTGATTCTGGTTGTCGTGTCATTCTTGACACCGCCTCTTGCTCCATTCAGGATCGTTGCACCAAGGCTTTGGTTGGTGCTGGCCCTAGGCGCCGTGAGTCAGAGGGCCTTTGGGAGGTTGACTGGCTTTGTGTTCCTTCCGCTGCCACCACTTCTGCCAGCTCCCATGCTCTTGCTGCCTCTTCGTCTGCGTCCTTCCAGCAATGGTATGGTGTGTAGACTTCGCCGCTCCATATATGGTCTCAAACAGGCCCCGCGCGCCTGGTTTGAGCGCTTCGCCTCTGTGGTGACTGCCGCTGGTTTCTTGCCCAGTAATCATGATCCAGCGTTGTTTGTTCACACGTCTCCTCGTGGTCGGACTCTTCTCCTTCTCTATGTTGATGACATGATCATCACTGGTGACGACTCTGATTACATTGCCTTTGTTAAGGCTCGTCTTCATGACCAGTTTCTCATGACTGATCTTGGTCCACTTCGCTATTTTCTTGGGATTGAGATCTCCTCGACCTCTGATGGCTTCTACATCTCCCAAGAAAAATATATTCAGGACGTTCTTGCTCGCGCTGCTCTCGGTGATGAGCGCACTGTTGTAACTCCCATGGAGTCCAATGTTCAGCGTCGTGCCTCTGATGGTGATCCTCTCCCTAATCCCACTCGCTATCGTCACCTTGTTGGCAGTCTTGTCTATCTTGCTGTTATGCGTCCTGACATCTCCTATCCTGTCCACATTCTGAGTCAGTTCGTTTCAGCCCCCACCTCTGTCCACTATAGTCATCTCCTCCGTGTTCTACGATATCTTCGTGGCACGATCTCTCAGCGTCTTTTCTTTCCCCGCTCCAGCTCTCTTGAGCTCCAGGCCTACTCTGATGCTACCTGGGCTAGTGATCCCTCTGATCGACGCTCACTGTCTGCTTATTGTGTCTTTCTTGGTGGCTCTCTTATTGCCTGGAAGACAAAGAAACAGACCGCAGTCTCTCGCTCGAGTACAGAGGCTGAGTTGCGAGCCATGGCTATGCTGACGGCTGAGGTGATCTGGTTACGATGGCTACTTGAGGATTTTGGTGTGTCTGCTACTACCTCGACTCCTTTATTGTCAGACGGTACTGGTGCTATCAGTATTGCGCGTGACCCGGTGAAGCATGAGCTCACCAAGCACATCGGTGTAGATGCCCACTTTGTGCGTGCTGTTGTGCAGGATCAGACTCTCGCTCTTCACTATGTGCCCTCTGAGTTACAGTTGGCAGACTTCTTCACGAAGGCACAGACTCGAGCCCAGCATAGTTTTCTTCTTTCCAAACTCAGTGTTGTCGATCCACCATGAGTTTGAGGGGGGGGGGGTGTTAGATGTGTATAGCCCTTTTCGGTTTATCCCCATTGTATAAGGGGTCTCTTGAACTTTACCACACACTTGTATATGTATTGGCCTTTGGCCCTCCTGTGAAGTTAGTGGCTGATTATCCAACAACAAGAAGCTGTATTTAGACACTTTGCACATAAATTTCAGTTGTTATCATTTATCAATATCATTACCAAGGATAAGCATAATGGCATAAGAACAGGCGATTAATAGCAACTATAAATAATTCTCCTCCATTTCACTCAGGGCATCTCTAGCTTGTCCCTTCTAATTTAGCCCCACCAATAGCGGGATGACCGTTTTGGCTCAGAGGAGCATATGCTCCTGGTTGAACAGTAAATTCAGAAATAATAATAATAAATATTAAAATTCTGAATTTTTTTGTACATGTTCATGTTAGTGTAACAAGTTTGCTTGAAAATTTTCATGGTGAACGGAATAGCAGTGCTTCGTCGGTCAAAAAAACAAAATTAAGTAATAACATTTGGCATTCGTCTTGTTTTTTTTGCACAGGTCAAAATGCCTAATCTTTCCCCCTAAAAATTTGCCAGTAGCGTTTACGTGTGACGATGTGCAGATTGATTTTTTTTTCAAAATTTTGACATTTGCAAAAAGTATTTTTGACACGCAGGAGCGTACGCTCCAAAGCCCGAATTGGATTTCTGCTCAAACAGCTCCTTACACTCGTTATATTTGATCCGCTAATGAAAAACGATTCCTAGCCGAACCCTTAAAACTTAAATCCCTAAAAAAACTTTCGCCAATTAAGTTTTTGTGTATGTACTACATTTCAACTACATATTTGCACACATATTAAATCCAAACTTAACAATCAAAGTTCACAAAATTCATGAATATTAGAAAATTAAAGTTCACAACAAATTATTCGAATTCAAACACGCAAAAGGGTCCAAATGAAGTAAAGAGCATGATAGAAGCACAACAATCAACCGGTGCTATGGAGTAGCCACCAATGCTAAACAAGATCTTAGAGCTAGGTATGAACTTTTTGGTTCTCGATGCTTCGATGCGCTGCGAGGAATCAATGCATGTTGTTTGCATCGTGTTCCAGCTCAACAGGATCCCATTGGTGATGTACAGAAAGTTCTCTGGCATGGCTCATGTTATGCGAGATGATGCAACATGTCATTATTTGCCATAGGACCAGTGGGTTCGAATACTCGGCAGGGCCATGAACAATGGCAAAGCGCTTCTGAAGCACACCGAAATCTCTCTCAACATCATTGCAGACTATTCACGCATTGCAAAGTGGGATCTCTTAGTGCCTTTAGGTCACGTGGTTGTCTTCACAAATGTGGTCCATGGAAGATAGATGCCATCTGCAAGGTAGTAACCCATTGTGTACTGACGGTCATCATTGACAACATAGTTGCAAGGAGGAGCATCTCCAACAAAAAGCACTCCAAATAGTGATAATCTCGACAGCACATTCAGATCATTACGAGAGCTAGGCAATCCAAAGTATGAATGCCAAATCCATAGATCCTCCAATGCAACTGCCTCAAGAACGATTGTTGGATCTTTTGGGTGCCCTTTGTACTGAACATTTCATCCCACAAGACAATTCTTCTATGTCTAGTGCATGCAATCAATTGATCCAAGCATACCATGCCATCCATGTTTTTCACTCAAAGCCAAAAGCCTCTAGGCATCTTCATCATTGGGAGCCCTCAAGTACTCTGCCCCATCTCAATCATGGCTCGTGTGTATCTTTGAATGGCCTACAAGATTGAATCTTCCCCGATGTGGACATAGTCAATAATGGCATCAGCCCAACACCCATATGCAAGCACTCGTACAGCCGCGACACACTTCATTAATGGGCTCGCACTTATCTCCCCTGATGCATACCTCCTCAATTTAAACCATCCATGCTTCTCCACAGCTCTTGCAATGGTGAGGAAGAGAGTCGGTGCATCCAAAACCATGGAAGAAAATACTTCTCCAGGTAGGTTGCATTGGGATTGAAATAATCCTTCATAAGCTTCTCATGGCCCTCTGCTCTATCTCGATTGATGCACAAGCGGCCAAACTATGATCCTAGTCTCGGTCTCCGGAAGTCATTATTAACAATCACCATAATGGCGATTTCAAAATCATCATCTTCTTCCTCCTCTTCCGACAAAGAGTCGTCGAAGACCATCTCCCTCAACCTCATCTACCCTATGCAATATTCTGGGTTGAATTTGATTCAAAAACAACAACACGTAATGAAAATAGCTATAGAAAGCGCACCTAAGCAATTCATCGAACACCTTTCCGACGGAGAAGGTTAGAGCTTCGACTGGCGGAGTTGATCGAATCCGAAGCTAGGGGTGGACGGCAGGCAGGGCAGTAGACGGCCGCAGTCAACGGCGGGCCTCAAATCGAACTCCTCGGGCGATGACAAAGCTCACCGTTTGCCTACAAAGATCGCCGGTCTTGGCACAATAACGGCGCCACAAAGCTCCTCGGCAGGCGTTCTACATCATCTCCGTCATCCGCCGGCTTCGTTTTGGAACAAACGAAGCATGTCTGGTTGTTTTTTCGGCCACGAGATAAAGGCGGCAGCGGTGGAGATATCTGTCAATTCCAGCGACTGGCGGGTGGATCAAAGTGCGGAGGTTGCAGGGTGTCAGCAAGCCTGCAGGTGGACACCGGAGGC